CCATCTGACCCAGAGCAAAAGCTCCAGTGGAAAACAGGCTTTTTGCTTTGAGTGTCTGTGTGTTGCTTTGAACCCTTCTGCTTTGTTCAATTTCTTGTTCTTCTCTAGGCATTTTGGTGGCACTGCCTTCAGTTGGAGGAGACGTGCTTCTCCCTCTGCTCTGAAAAAAGAAATAACCAAACATAACTTCACTGGTCTCCCTGTTCCACAGAACAGGAAACTGAGGTATGAAGGAAAAGGAAATAACTTGTGGAATATCATGGACGCAGTCAGAGGAGGGAGTGAAATTGCAGAATGGGTGAGAATGATCCTGGTCTGCTCTCAAAACCAGGCTCAGTACCTGAGACTACAAGAAAAGCTTCTGAAGGTCTAAGCAAATCCCTAGAAGCTGCCTACAGGTAGTCCTCATAGCTGAGGGAGTTGGAGTTGGGCTCTATGCTGTTGCAGAAGTGTTCTGTTTTGTTGACACAGGACAGTCCTCCTTGAGGCTCCTTCCATCAGCCTTGGGATGGTCCCAGTGGGACAATGCTGCAAACCCCAGTTGTGTGCTGGAAGTGCTCCCATGCACCATTCACAGACTTTTAGTCCAACGTTTGCTAAACCCATCCACTGATGGGAAATGTTTTCTGGTGAAGGTAACCAGCACAGGTTGCTCCAGCAATCCAGGCCACACCTTTTTGTCAGAGACTCTTTGGCATGGAAACTCAGTACAATTTCTGATTCTTCAAACCCTCCTGGATGTCAAACAGAGCCAAAGCTGGCAGAAAATACAGTGTCAGTAGAGCCTGGGGAGGATCAGAAGCATTTTTCTGGTGCCGGCTTCTATCAGACTTTGAAATGGCACCAGGAAACATGATGGAGCTGCTAGCAGCTTGGCAAAAAGGATGCATAATGCAATGGGAACAACAGTGCTCGTAACCAGGCAGATCGAGTCATAGCATCCACTATGATGGAAAGGTCTCTCCTATCCCAAGGGTATTCTGATGTCCATGAGTGGGTATAAATAGACCTTGAAGAGGGTAAAGACAGCAACTTGGCAGCATTCCCTGGCATCTCCTCCAGCTGACGTAAGTCAATGTGCTGACTGGCCCTGGAGCAGCAGAGGGAATCCCAGGTGGTGGATGTGTGACCTTTCTCCAGGAGCCTGTCACTGCAGAATGTCCTGCACCACAGGGACCGTGCTACCTTTCTTGGTTTTCTGGCCACCTTGGTTCCCGCTGATTTGAATGACACCTAGAAACCTTCCAAAATCCAGACCCTAGAGCCTGCGACAAGCGTCATTATAATGGCATAAATCAAACACCATAAAGAAAGACGAGCTTTACTTTAGCTTTCCTGCAGACAGTTCATTAAGATAATTACTCACTTCTCTCAGTCGAATGAAGTCACTGCAACTGCTGTCCCCAGTGGTGGGCCTAGAATGACAGAAATTGGCAGTGTGGTCATGCATCAGCCCAAATCCTCTTGCTGCTGTTTCCTTTCCATCTGCACACTCATCCATCAGGCCAGACACCTCCATGGACTCCAGATGAGGATCTGTCTCATCCACGTGTCTGCCCACAAGATTTTTGTAACATTTCTCCTAATGTCCCTCTTCTTGGATGATCCCAGAGTCTTTATTACTACATCTTCCTGATCCTTTTGTACAGTTTGCCTTGATCCACTGGATACATTGACTCATTCATCTTAGAGAAGAGTTGCCCACACAGTGACCTTCATCTGTACAAATGATGAGTCTTATGCTGCTGTTTCATTCAAGAAGTTTAGCAGGACAGTGTATTGGGTCTGGCTGGGATGGAGTTGATTTTCCCTGTTCCTTAGGCACTTCTGGGCCAGGTCAGCTTTGTTGGTGGCACTGAACAGGTGGAGAAGTCAAGGCATGAAAGAAAGACGTGAGCTGCCCAAAGTTTTGCAAGTGGTCAGCAGGAGAGCCAGGAATAGTGCCCAGGAGGCAACTCAGTCCCAAGAGGAAGATGTGGGCAAGGTTAACATGGCAAATAAAAAATGATCCCTCTGAAATAAATATGACCCATAAAATACATAAACACCGACCGGCCATAAACAGCATTTCCTATTTACAGCATCAGAGTACACGGATATTTGCCAGCCATTTGCAGCTTAAAGAGCAGTTCTTTTGATCCCAAGTTGTGGAAAAAGTTCTATTTAAAGCTATTCCTTTCTCCCCAGTCTTTCACTCTT